GAAAATCCACAATGAAAGTTACGACGAGTGACCACAACGAATACCTGCGACGTTGTGCTTGAACATGGCACAATTGGGACGGTAACGTAAGACTTAACTGTGGAAAGTAGGTTGGTTAACTAAATGAAGAAAATTTGAAAGCAATAGGTGTAAGCAATATCTAAGGCTGTTGCGACGTCTTACCACACGAGGCTGTAGTAGTTAGTGCTCAGTTCGAGTCGCTATTGCCCTTAGTGCTACATGGTGAGGGAGGAGAGAAAAAGAACTTGTGGCTTGTAAGTAGTCATTATCCAAGAGATCGTAGGTAACAATTGTTCCTTATGATTATATCATTGTCAGAGTGTTGTTCGTAATGTCGCCCGTAGGTAGCAATTCGTTCTTGTATGATTGTATCACTGTCAGAGTGTTGGTCGTAATGTCTCCCGTAAATGACTCAAGCAACATGCATTGGATATTAATAACATGTACACGGTGATTAATATTGACAAGTCATTTAAACCTTTCTTTAATTTCCTTTCATATTAAGCAATACAGTTTATATGTTCTCGTAATGATTCGTACCTCCAGTTGTATCGCCCCAACTACTCTGGATAAAATCCAGAGAACAGATTAGCCTCCTTTAGCTAAAACAGCCCGTGGGACAACTTTTGGCAAATTGATTATGTTAAGGCGGTCGGTGTGGTGCTCATTCCTGGAATTTAGTTGAATTAGAACGAAATATTTCAACTCTGGAATTTTATGGAGATATCTGACGAATCGTCAGTGACGATACAGACTTTCCAAGGTCTCTTTCAGAAGCTGATTTCCGATAGAATCGGCTTAGATAGACGTGCAAGTGATTTCGTGTCGATACATACAACGGATTCCTACTATAGATACCAGCAGGTACCTTTGGTTTTGACCACATTTGACTGTTATTTTTTCATAATCTTATTGTATCAAGTTTCACGTTAGACAGAATCATCAAGGAGGTCTACCAGTTCGGTGAAATCACTTCCTATCATGTACGACAGGATATCACGATATACAAGCTCATCTTACAGGTTCATCTGCACAATCGAATAGAGTTAACACGCATGAGCTTTTCGCAATGAAAACAAAGTTGTGAGCTAGTAGCTCACAACTTTGTTCAAAATAAGTGGTAGCTTTGAGATGGAACAGAGTGGTAACTCGGTTGAGAACCTCTCTTTTTTAAAAGAGTACTTCGTACAATACAAATGGACGTGTATGAGCAACGTAATGTGAAAAGAATTCAATTGATTGCTACCTGCTACAATTCTAGTGAATGCGGTAACGCTGGACGAGGAACTCGCTCTCGGGTGCCTCTTTCCATTGGATTTCAACGTCAAGGAAGCGCGGATTCTCAGCGTTCCGTCGCACCCACCACTTGCCCTCTACAACGTCTCCCTCCTTGACGGTGAAGGGTTTCGGGACGTGGAAAAAGACCTGGTGCCAGTGCGTTGGTGTGCCCTCAGCTCCAGTGGTAAAGTACTCAGGGCGTGGGCAATCACGCTCAAAGCCAATGTCGAAGCTAGACACGAAGCCGTGCATAGTCGCATCTCTCGTGATAGACAACGTGAAGTTCGAGTGGAAGTCGAGATCATCGTACTTCACGTGATCAATGTCGATCTTCTGCAGTAGCTCGCGGCTCGAGATGATGTCGCTCGACTGAACATCCTCCACAAAGGCGTCACGGATGGAAATCTTGGACTGGATGGGCTTCATATTGAAGCCATAGACGTCATTCCAAAAGTCAAAGCGCTTGGTCGAGTCCTCCATGCCTTGGATGAACAGAGAGCACTTGTCCGGGAACAAGTGTCCACCCTGAACTAACCACTTGTCACGCGCGAACAGCACAGTGTCCAGCATAGATTCATATAGAAGACAGTAGCCCATCCACTCGGAGACAATGATGTCCACCTTGTCCACTGGCAGTTCGATCTCCTCCACTTTGCCGCGTAGAATGGTGATAACGTCGCTGAATCCGTTAGCTGCCACAATCTCGCGAGCCACGTCTCCCATCTCGCTGCGGTCGATACCAATGACCTTGGCAGCGCCAGCCTGAGCGGCAAACATACTCAGGATGCCCGTCCCACAGCCCACATCGAGCACCACCTTGTCCTTGAACACCTGCGGGTTGTTAATAATGGCGTTGCGGTAGCCATCAGTGCGAACTCTGTCCGTGATCATCTCGCGGTGGATGCCCACCTGCGAGTATGAGTCAAAGTAATACGTGTCGTTATCAGCAGCGTCCTCCACGGGTGCAGAGCTCTCTCCGTCCACCACAAAGTCGCGGACGAGCTTGGAATATTTGGTCATCTGCTGTTTAAGCTCCTGGTTCTCCAGTTGCAGCTTGGCGATCAGGTCGGCGACGTCGTCTCCAGCCTTTTCGCTCTTCTGTTCCTCGTCGGGATTGCCCTCGTCTTCATCGTCGCTGCTATCGCAGTCAAGACAGTAGAGCAGTGGGTCGTCGGCCACTACGGGCTTGAGGAACTCGTCCTTCTGGAAGGCGGCGTTGCCCTCCGTAGCCAGCGTCTGCTTCACCTGGTCGGCCGACACTCCGTCCAGTGTGTTCCAGCGCAGGAAGTTAACGAGCTGGATGGTGCCGTACGTGTCCAGCTTCCGCGTCGAGATCTCGCGACGCAGCGAGAAGTCGTGCGTCTCCTGCAGATGCGCGTGTAGAGGCTCCTCAGCCGGGAATTTGCTGGCGCAGAACACGCAGTCGAAGGTAGTGGACGAGCCGTCGTCCACCCAGTCGTCCCAGGTCTCGCCGTCGACGTCCTCGCGCTGCTCCGCCATTCTTGGTGTGTGTCAATCCAATTGGGGAATGCGCATCCAGCCATTGGCTTGGGATGTTGTAACAGATGGCTACATTTTACCAACATGGCTACATTGTGTCCTGATATTGAAGGTGTATGATAAGCTTATCGTATCCAGGCTGCAAAGTGCTGAGCTCTAGCTAAAGACGCGGCGACGACTCTGCACGCAAACGACAACGAAGTACAAGACGGCAAATTACGCGCAACAGCCGTCTTTCGCCTGGTCCTGTGACTCGTCCACTCGGAACTTGCTGCCGTTTGCCACATCTAATCTATCGTGCTCGCTCTCGGCCAGTCGCTTCTGGATATCCACTGCGATCGAGCGGAAGGCCTCGTCAATGTTGTGGTTGCTCTTGGCGCTCGTCTCGAAGAACTTGATCCCGAACTCGTCTGCCAAATCCTGACCCTGCTTCGTTGTCACCGCCTGAGAACAGCCACCAGCATCAGTCCAAACGTCAGTCAATGTGTGCATCAACAAGTTAATTATCTTCCTCATTCAACGCACTCTTTCCGACGGATCCACATCGCACTTGTTGCCAATCAGAATTTTGTTGACATTAGACGACGCATTTTGTCGAATTTGTGTCATCCAGTTGCGAATGTCTGCCCAAAAATTAAAAATTAGTAAAGCAGAAACTTTAGCATAGCTTGGTAAGGATTGTAGCATCGTACTCTGAAAGGAGTGATCGTCTGTCACGTCGTATACCAGCAGAATCCCCATAGCGCCGCGATAATATGCTAACATTGTCAATTGCATCTCAGTTAGCCCGAGGAAAAGTTGAGGTAAAAAGAATGTAGCAACACGTACCAGTGGTGATGGTCCGGAAGCGCTCCTGGCCCGCAGTATCCCAGATCTGCAGCTTTATCCGCTTGCCATCCACATCAATGGTCTTCACCTTAAAGTCGATACTACCATGGGCGTCCAAAGTACAACGTTAGTTCACACACGCTCTGCATGAAGTCGATAAAATGATGGCCCATCCCGCACCCGATAGTGGTGATGAATGAGGTCGTGAACGAGTCGTCGGAGTAGCGCAAAAGCACGCAACTCTTTCCCACGCCTGAGCAGCGACAGAAAGGTGCAAGGAGGTTAGAAGGCTAGGACGAGAGAAGGGAGGAACCACCGGCTGTGCGGCACGCACCGCTGTCTCCGATCAAGAGGAGCTTGATAAGCAGGTCGTACTTGCTGCTATGCACCATGGCGGTCGACTGACTAACTCTGCGCGATTTCACTTTGGCGAAGAAGCACGTGTCCCATTTTTGGGTGTACGCCACACAAAAAATGAGGATCCTACCCACTTGCCTATTTTTTGGGGTAAGGGACAAAAAAGGTTTAATTGTCTCAAAACGGGTCCGTTATTTAACGATAATTACAATTTTGAAAAAAATGGAGACAGCGTTTATCAACACTGTTTGCTATGTCCAAATGGGAAAAACCCTTCATCTGTAACACTTTGCACTTCGTAATTTTGATTAATTCTGCGCCAACGAACTTGTAGAACTTTCGCTGCGTAATAAAATATGCGTTGGTTTATTTGGGTTATTCGGAACCCAACTCAAAATAGTCAAATTTTGGGTCGTAATAAAATATGCCATCGATCTCTCGAAATATTTTTTCCATTCCCATTTAAGTTGTGTTGGCTGAATGCCAACCCGGCCACTATCGCTGTAGCTCATTAAAATTGGTAGCTCTATGAATGCAGCTTCACTTGGCTAATGACGTCCTTCACTAGTACGGACATGGCGGACACTTTCTCGAACTCCTCACCGGTGGGTGAGATCATGGCCAAGCACTTGAGTAGCAAGTAGTGAGTAGAAGTAAGCGATGGCGTAAGATCGAGCTTTTCGACCAGCGGGTCTGCCACAAGAGGTGGCTTGGTATCGCTAATCACCCACGAAAAGGTGTCGGCAGGCAGCATACTCATCACTACAGCGTACTCCGCTTCGGTCTTCATCCGTCTCAGAATAAGTGATAGTCTGGCTCGCGCAATAGCCCCAAGCTTGAGCACCAGTCGTTCTGGTCTCTGCATCTTCTCAATGGCAAGATCGGCGCGCTCGTCCCGCCCAGACTGATACAAGAACAGCACGTACTCTTCACGAATCACCTCTAACGGAAGTCCAAATGCCTCCGCAAGCGCAAAACCTAATGTTTCATCATGTCGGAGAAGTTCCTTCAGAAACTTGGTACGGTCTTGACTGATAGATTTCGTCTCCTCTTCACTCGACTGAGCGATTTGTTGGGTCATCAGAAAACTGTCCGGCCGGCACAAATGTCGACCATTATTCGAGAACAACTTGACAACTGAAATCGGAGTCACAGACGTCGCAGCAAACGAATCGAGCAGCATAACCAAACTGATATGATCGGCGATCTGCGTTACCGATACCATATCGAATTTGAAGCCTTGCAACACTTGCATGAGCGCTGAAGTATCGTGCGAAGGTGGCCACCGTTGTCTAAACACCAAATGGAGATCTCTCACCCGGCAACGCCATTTGATAGACTGAGTCAAGCTTTCCATCTTAAACACAGCAATACGAGACAAATTATCGTCATCTTCGTCAGATTCGGCATCTGCATCACTTGTTTCATCGTCATAATCGCTTTCAGGCTCATCCTGGTCATTCGCTGACGATACGACTCGAACCACTGATACTGCCTTCACTGCAGTTAACAACGTGACAAGCAGACTTCGGATAATGCCAAAGAAGCGGCGAGCTACTTGTGGCTGGAGACCCCGTTGTGGTTTCCTTCCAGCTGCACTTTCCTCCCAAAACGTGATCAGTGTCACTACATGGACACGAATGTATCGTTCCCAAATGTACGCTGCCATGGCCGCTTTCACTTGGAGTGACGCCACACAATCAAGCTCCAGCAACGCATCCTCTAGCTGTCTCATGTCCGATCGCTCCGCATTCCAAGCCGCGCAAAGGATTCCTACTCGGAAGCAGCACAGCGCATCTTTGTTCGCGAGTTGCGGATACGCGCGGAGTACAGCTGCCCAGTCCTTCATTTGAGCAGCTTTACGACAGTCCTCCATCGTCGCGACCCAACCATCCGTTCCATCATCACCCATACTCACCTCGACGTGGTCTTTGGGTAATTGTACAGCGGCATCATCTTCGCCAGCTTCGTGGCCATCATTAATCTGTATCACAGCAATACTTCGCATGATATCATCCACGTGTTCCACTGCGTCCACAGATAATCGACCGACTTTTCCGAGACGCAATGACAAGTGCACCGTTTTCGCAATGCAGTCTTGCAGAATGGTCCAGCGTGCTCCACTACCAGCACTGCTATACTTTCCGAAAGTGTCTTCTTCAGCATGCTTGGCCGACTGTTTCTCGCCCCAACCACAGTGCTCACTCAGCACAAACCCATGGAACAGCTTTGGTGTCTTCCAGCAGGAGTTGAATATCTCCTCTAGCGAGGAAGAGCAACCACGCAAGCGTCGGAGATAGGTTTCTGAAGACACAAACGGCGTTTTAGCGTTGTCATCACCTTCTTCTTCGATTGCTGTTTCAACATCTGAGATAACGAAATACGGTTGTAACCAGCGCTGAAGAGACGAAGACTTGGATGGGGGAGGTAGAGCGAGTACAGCGCCGAGCGGTAGGGAGAAATACCACTCAATAAATAGTCTGGTGAGAATGTCTTCGGTCAAGAAGATGGCTGAATGAAGTTGTTGAAGCTCCTGTACCAGTGAAAAGGATGTGTCAAATAAACTAGAGGCCAAACAGAGAAAACTCATCCGTACCTGTACCGCGAAGACACTCGACAGCACTGGAGCTAGAATAAATGTAAATAAGCAGTCCCTCTGAGCGGTTGTTGAAAATTTGCGGAAAATTGGAGTCTTCAGCACGCGGAAAGCGTCACGCAGAAACTCTTCCTTGGTTTCAGCAACTTCAAACAGAGATAGAATATCACGTCGCCGGGGCAAGTCAGGATCACTGAACGGCATGGAGAAAAACTCCATAAATTCCCACGCCGTGAGTTGACTGGCGCTATCTATCGCTTTACACGTCCGGCTGCAAGATTCATCATCGAGTGCAAGACCAGCCCGGCGAAAGAGCTCTAACCATGGGAGAACACGTGGCAGTGGGCCAGACTCCTGTTCTTTGGTGCTTGATCGGGACATGATGTCTCTTGTGGAGGTCTGCATCATCGCTGTAAGCGCATGCTTGCCACGCTCAAATTCCTGAATATATACAATTAACAAAACAATTTCAGAAAGATGTGGCAAGTCTTGCACAGCAAAGCAGACTTACGGCCTGGAACCCGATAAACGTAGATACAAGACGGTGCTGCCAAAGTAGCTTCCACTGGAGCGATAATTCTACCCCAGTCGGTGTCCTAGAAGACATTCCGTTCTTCAAAGCCTGCAGATACACGAGTTACTGTTAGCACGAGACGGTCAGCTCGAAATGCAACAAGACGTAGACCCACCAGCTGCAATTTCTCAAGTGCTTTAAGCAAGAAACTTGCGTTCAGCAGAATCATGTCTGCATTGAGCAGGACGTCCAGCAGTGTCTGGATCGTCGTTGACGAAGAAAGGCTGCCGATATCATCTAACAACGGCTCCAATGAATCTTGTTCGAGGGTGTGGGTCGCGTCGGCACGCTTTTTCTTCACGAACGCTTGAAGGCCACCAATTACTTGATGCAGAAGAAAATTCTCTTCTTGAAGCTTGTTCTGGGTAAAATACTTCATCAAAATCGACGCGTTGGGTAGTCCAGGCTTCAGCTCAATCAGTTCCGACACATTGTCACTTGTTTCACACAAGACAATGCACTTGGTCCTTCTACTCACAGGATCGAACTGCGTGAAGAGTTTAGCGCTGTTGCCCACCGCAAAACTGAAAACCCTGGGACCATACCGTGCGCGCCATACCTCAACAATACCACGTTGGGCAGAGTAAATAACCAAGTAGAGTCCAGGAGGTCGACGGGCGCCTTCTGATCCTTGCATCCAGCCACACTGTGCATTCCGATAACCCTTCCACATCCGAACCACGAGCATTCGCGCTGTATCAACTAGCAGAATCCGTCCTAGCGTGTCCGAAACAGCTGCCAATCTACCTGTCGGGCTCAATACGAGAACTCTGCAGCGTCGTCGTTCATCTTCATAGATCGATCGAGTTGTGTCTATTGGTGCCGGAACGTGTTCAGCTGCAGCATCAATCGCACCTGAGCCAAGTTGAGTGTACTCCGTTTGTCCTTCCTCTCCAGTTGCAGACTCTCCTGTGTCTCTTCTCCACCCCCAACTCGTTGCAAAGTTCCACACAGCCCCAGCAGCTCTCGATGCAATGGCTGTAGCGATATGAGCCAAGTGGATGATGGAATTCTGGTCGTTTCCAGCCTGATAAAAAGCGAGGAAAGGGGCTGATCCTGCGCTTATGATAGTATATACGCCGAGACGCGAGTGCGACTGGAAGATTGTGGGTCTCACGGGTCCGCACGGGATGGCAGCGACAATATCTTTCTGATCTCGCAGTGAGTATTTCCTGAACTTACTGGCTTGTGCCGGTCCGAACACTGAGTTGAGTTTGGCTAAAATCTCTGAGATTTGAATAATAGCCACAGTAGAGTCGGTGTACAACACCCAGAGCTCGCCCTCCATGTCTGGCTCATCCGACAGCATGACGCTAGCTCGACGAGGCGCCATTATCGTAGCCGCATTGCGGTTCACGTCCAGTTTGTGTACCGCTGAGCCGTGCAGCTTCTGTTCGAACAGAAGCTTCCCCACTCGGTTGAAGATGCGCACGATACCCGACGTGTAGCCAGCGCAGAAGCGCTCGCGGTCAAGCCACTTGACGTCCGCGACCTGTTCGTCCTCCTCCAGGTGGACGCTCTCGGTGTCCACGATGACACGCAACGAGGCTGTCGTTTGGCCATCATTCTCCATGTCCTTTTGCACGCCAACGCTGTAGATCTTGCGCTCAAATCCCAGCAACAACGTCAAGTCCTCGGCTACATCTAAGCGCACTTGTGGGTCGTCGTACAGCGACACGGGGGCGTCTGGGGCTTCATTGGAGCGCAACGAGGAGCTGTCCACGCGTAGGGCTACGGCCAGTGCATCTTCCGAGTCGGACGAAGGCAACTTCGAGGCGGCATGAGCCGCCGATGATGCCATCACTGCGAGCTTTTCTTCTCAGTGCGGAATCGGTGAGAACACAGGCAGGAGTGATGGTCTCTGTTTCAAATGGGTACAGTGTACCACAAACTGCTTCAACTTGCCTTTTTTGGCAGAGACCCGAAGATGCGGATGGCGAGAGGAGCCCACTATCGACGGCGATGGATCCGCGGAACGGCATAGAAATCTGGTGACTGTGTGAGGGAGACAGGAGCGCTGCGCTAGATTGTTCATGCCATGCAGCCCTATTTCTCAATCTCGAGTCGACGAGGCAAGGATGTCACGTCGTGACTTACGACAGAGTCGAGCTTTGCTGCTGCTAGTTGCATCATTGTTGTGCCAGTTAATGCAGGCAATAGATGTGGTAGATGGCTATGGCCGCAGGGCCTTCCGAAGACTGGACTCACTTGACGGTAGCAGCAGTGGTGATGACGCTACCGTGACGTCAGTCGAGAAGCAGCAAGAGCAGGAGGACTTGACCGTTCAGCCTTCGACCTCGGACGATAGCTCGGACAGCAGCTTCCCTAGCACCCCCATCACCATCGTTGCAGTGGCGTTTATTATTCTCGTGGGCCTTGTGGTTTTTCTGGTTATTCTTCGGCGCAGCAGGTCCGACTCTGACCAGAGTGAATGTCATGCCAATCATCCGCCAGAAAACTCTCGCTTTTGCATGAAGCGCACGACGTTTGCCGTTCCCGAGGCTGGACACAGTGGCCACGTGGAAATTGACTCGACCGGGTCGGTTGTCCCTGTGCTGGGTGACAACACTCTTCACCGCAAGATTGAGGAAGCCGCTCAGCAAGAGCTCAAGCCCTCGTGGGCTGAAGCCAGCTCGTACAGCGTTGCTCCACTCAGCAGCCGACATACAAGACCGGCGGTACCTATGCTTATCTACATGCCAGCTCGAGGGCGTGGACTTACAGACAGCCACCCAGCTAGCGACTACAGCCAAAGCTCGCATACAGACGACTATTCTATCGGCATGCTCGAATCGCCAGTATCAACGGAGTATAGCTTCGGCTCGGAAGGAGACGACGTGTTTCTGTCCGCGAGTTCGGATGACGTGGATTCGTATCGGACTATGGATTATACGTTCCTATCTACCACCTCTTCGGACGTATTTGGTTCGAATCGGGCTCGGAACGGTGGCGCGTGGAAGCAAGTGTACGGTCCCAGTGACACGCCTCCGGGCCAGTCGCGATTATCTACGGGCACTCTTTTCGTGCGAACTATTGATCCGACCGAAATAAGAAGGATGCGTCTCGACACTCGTGCTTATGGAGCTCGAGGAAACCGAATGCGTTTTGACGTCGAGGTGTAGCGTATATGAGTCAAGTGCGAACTCACAGGGCAAGTTCTCCACTCTTATTTATCTTTTCGCTGTCAATCTGCGCAAAATACGGTTTACTACTCCTTAAAATGATGTGGACCTTAAGAAGCAGACGAGAGGGATCCGTTGACTAACGATCGTAAACTGAAGGAGATGGACTCATTTCTTCATCATCTCCTTGTCGCTTTTCTTCAGCTTGTAGGCTTTTTGAGGATGAAAAGTCCTCATTTCAACGCTTCAATATAATCCTTTGCGTTAACATGTACTTAGTAGGAGTTAATCTAGCAACGCTTTCACCTGTAAGAGGACTATTGGACATGTAGCCCAAATTCTTGGTCTCGGCCACGGTATACTTCGTGGTTCCACCAGCCAGATTCCCTGTTTTGCATGAAGTCGTGTCGCGAGAAACTTAATGTAATGATAACATGGCCTGAGTTTCATCACGCTATATTATGCCCACCGAGACTCCCCTGTGTGGACGTTGTAGTAGTACGACTGGCCCGAGGCTTCATCCACAAGCGTCATCCAGCCATTGTAGTCTGCAGTTGCGGCGAATTCTTGAGTATAAGCTTGAGTATACGCTTGCGCTTCTTGCGCCTCTCTAGCAGCTTCCGCCATTGCGTACTCCGTGACGTATTGGTACTCGCTTGACTGGACATATTCATCATAAGTCTGCGCATTCTCCTCTTCCATTTGCTGCTGTTTCCGTGCCTTCTTGAACGTCGCCATGTCTGTCCACTGATGATTGACCTTATTACCCTTGGAATGAATAATAGTAAAGCACCCCAAACAATACGGATCTTCACAGACCGAGCACCATCGTGTTGCACGCATTTTCTCACACTCGATACACCGCAGAGAACCGATTGCTTTCCACGTGTGTTTTTCACGTTTGGCCGAGTGATGCAACTTCTCATAGCAAGCATCACAGAACACGTCCTCGCACTGAGCGCATTGTCGTCTGGCATCCTCCTCCTCGCATTCTACGCACAGCTTATCTTCATCCTCGTCATCTTCATCCTCTTCATTATGTTTTGTATCCGAGGTGTCTCCATTTGGACCATTATTTAACACTGGCTTCTGAGCTGCCAGGATGCTGGCGATGTCGTCTTCGGATGGATCCATAATTTTGCCGTCCTGAAGTACCAACTTGCCGTCTGCTTTTGTGTATCCCGTTGCAGGAGGAGCCCACAAAGCCTCACCAGTCTATGTAGTCGTAGCAAACACGTCAGCATGAGTACATTGGGTGTAAGTTCTGGTAAAGTATCTACCTCTTGATTGTAGTAAAACCACTTGGTGGCGTCGTCGTTCCAGTATTCTACCCACGTCCGTGCCTGGAGCACGAACCTTGCTGCTCGTTCCTCACGAAGCCGCTCCACACGTTGAATAGCTTGGCGTTTGCGCACCATCTTTTGAATCTTTGTAGCAGCCTGAGCATACATCCGATTTCTCTCACGCAGTGCCATCAACTTAAGTTCTGTTGACAGACGAGCACTATACAGGCGATAATACCAAGATAATGAGTTAGTCGCAGCTTCTACATACGAACGCACAGACATACGTACCGGTGTCCTCGGTAAACTCTTTGAATGTTGATAGCTGCAGCTCGCCGAATTGCTTGTCGCTCGCGTTCTTCCTCACGTAAATTACCAAGTATCTTGCGAGCACGCCTTCCTCGAACCATAGTTTGGATTTTCGTTGCAGCAACGTCGCGCATTCGGTCTAATTGCCGTCGAATGAATGCAGCACGGCCGAGACGACCGCGATATCTGCGCTGAATTATCACCGCTGCCTTCGTAAGGCGCTGGGTCTGTCGATGAACAGCAAGTTCTCGACGAGCCTTGCGTCCACGATACATTGCCTGAACATGACTAGCAACTAAGTGCTTCTTCCTCTGGTCCCTCATCTGCTTAACACGCTTCCGAACGATGTAACCTCGTGCCAGCGCTTGAATACGAGTTGCCATAGCTTGACGATGTTTGTCGATTCTCTTGAGCCTGAAGAATTTACGTGCGATACCTCCACGGAACATACGTTGCATTTTAATCGCTGCGGTTGTCTGCTTTGCAAGCAGCTTTTGCTTCCTCACAAGAAAAGCAAACATGCGGCCTCGGTAGGCTCGCCACGAGCGCTGGATGACTTGAATTGACTGCAATTCAAGTGCTGAGCGCTCCAGAGCCTTCTCGTGGACAACATCGGACCACCATTTCGTCCACGCTTGGCGTAACTTACGTTGCGACCAGTTCACTAAGAACGCGTCAAGCTTCTTGCTTCCTTTGTAGAGTAAGTATGCCTGAAGCTTCTCTTGTTGCTTTTCGTAAGCAACTGCTTGCTTCCAGCGCTCCAAGGCCAGACCTTGGAGGTTGTACAATAATCGACGGAATATATTCTCCACTTTCTCTTTTCCCCAGCGTTTAAAGTAGAGCGTCGTACGCAGCTCCGACGCGGGACAGATCTTCTGTGCCCAGCAGATATCGTCTTTCACTAACCGTGTAAGATGCTGCACACTGTGAAGTGCTGACTCCAACTCTTTGCGAAGTGCACCGCCATCTTGTGTATTACGAGCGTTCCTCTTCGTCAGAAGTGAACGAGCGACGCTCTTTCGTTTGTTCAATTGCAACTGCTGACGTTTTTTATTGCCTCGTGCTAGACCAGGGAGTTTTTGCTCGTCAAGAGATGATTGATCGGGCAGGTATGAGGCACTGAAATGTTGTCCGTTGAGCTCAGCTTCGAGAGCTTCAATTTCCTCAACTGACAGCCCCAGCGTCTCACTTGCTTGCTTTCGATCGACGTCCTCTTTAATCACTTGTACCTCTTTAGCTGCCATTGCGCTTGCAGTACTTGCAACATTTACAGACGGCAGCCTGAATACAGGAAGGACATACTGTTGCCGTTGTCCTAGTACAATTTGAGCCTCCAAACCAACTTCAAACGGGGTTTCTCCTGTTGTTGTCAGTACTGGAAGCAAATCAAGCCCCGTTCGAGCGTTTGGAGACATCGCTAATGTTGCTTTGCCCGGACCTGGTGCTGCATTAGCCTTCTTGTGTCTTAAAAACGATTTGGATCGTTGGTTTGGAGAGAGCTTTAACGTCTTGGAATGCATGGCATGTTGTAAGTCCCTTTGTGATGATTTCGAGGTCGTCCCATCTGTTGCAAGCTGGAAACGCTGTTCTAGTTCTTCGACACTGAGGATTATTCCTTCACGGACATTGAAAGAGGTTGATAGCGCATCCGGGTGCTGTCGCTGAAGACAAGCCACTTTGAGTCTCCACTCAGCTTGCAACTTGGATCGTGTACGCTCTAACTCCTCCAGAAGCCGTAATTCGTGGTTTGTCAGTCGATGCAATGCATCTGTATGTGGTGTTAAGACTGCTGTCTGGCTTCCTCCGTCACTGACAGATCCATGCTCGCTCGAAGCAGCAGGATTGGTAACCTTCGCTACTGTTGAGCTGGTTTTCTTACCACCCGAGAGATTCCCACCAAACAACAGCATCACTGCCGAGTGAAGTAAAGCGTTGAGCTCTTGTCTGCCATTTACCGTCCCTATAAATAGAGACACTCTTATCAGCAGATCCGTAACCAACAATTAGCACCATTTTAAAACAACAGATTCATAATACGTCACCAAAAACTCGTCAAATTGACCACTTGGAAACTCACTTTAGCTTCATGAAGACCTTTTGTGCTCCACTCTGCTCTTCTGTCCCTCCTATCATAATTACGCTCAAACACACGAAGCGAAGAGCTGATGTGCCTTTATAAACCTAATCTGGCACGTTGCACACTCGTCGCTACGTTCTCGTCAGAACTTGAAGTGGATGAGCATGAGCGTCGCTGCCATACTGAGGAACACGTGAGAGAGCGCATTGTGGTTGAACTTGTCCTTGCTGGGAGCCCATACGAGACCCTGGATGAGGCCACCAACCAGCTTGACGCCGTACACGAGCAGCTCGTTGCTTGTGTGGCTCCACTCCCAGTTCCACGTCATGAAGCAGGCGATGGGGCCAAAGAGCATCACAGGGATGAAGCCGGCGAAGAGGAACACTGCATGCATGCTGACACTGGCCCAGACGGCCAATGCCACGTACAACACAGCGGCCAGGCCGATGATAGAATAAGCCCAAGCCTCAGGCAGGTGACGACTGGCGGCCAGAGATAGCAGTGCGAAGTTGGTGAGGATGGAGCAGGCCAGCACGACGCGCCACAGAGCCTCGATCATCTTGTCCACGTTGGCACGGGTCAGACTGACGCCGAAGACACGCGCAGTCATCACCAGATGCTTCTCCTGCTTGTGCGCGATGTCGCGCATGGCCTCGAACGCGACGTGGTGCAGTAGGCCACCCAGCGCCGCGGAGATGCCCAGCGCCATGAAGTACATAAGGTACCAGGCCAGATCGCCCTTGTCTGTGGCGGCGAAGAGTCCGATATACACGGCGAAGGCGAAGCACTGGATGGCCAGCAGGTAGTCGGTGATGAAGCACGCCGGCTGCGCGTCCCACTCCTCGCCCGTGGCGTCCCGGTAGGCCCAGAGCGACCAGTTCTCGAGCTCCGCCACAGCCTGGCGACACGCCTGTGCTACGGTAGAGGCGGCGGTAGCCGTAGACGCCGAGCGCTTGCGCTGTGTGGTGGAAGTCTGCTGCGTTAACATGTCCGAACTCATCGGTGTCGATCTCGATCTCTGGCAGATTGCGAACTGAACAATGCACCGCCGCCCGTTTCGAATGTCTCTAAAAGTAGATGATCATATCTTATTGGCTAAAAGGTTCCATCTAAAAGTGTCCTATTGGTCAGAAACTCATGAGATACTTTTAGTAGCCATGTGGGACAAAAATACTTCCGTGCATATTCGTGGAGGAAACCGAAGATCAGAGCAACCTGCTTGAAGACGTTGAAGACGATCAATGGCGTCTACGGAAATTTTCATGACTGTATTATGCTGCGGTTCATCGTAGGCAATACGTGGTTTCGGCGGTGTAGGCGCGTTTTTGATGCTCTTGTGGTAAACCACAAGTTGAAGGCAAACGAATCTCAAGATCCAATAGATTTGCTCATGGGTACCTTGGATGGACATCAGTGCTCTTCAATTAACCAAAGGACTGGTTGCTGCTTCATGACTTTGCATATTACTGTAATATGTGACGGAATGTGTTTTATCCTGAAAGCAGACACCACAGACTTGGCTGCTAGCAGACACCACGACTGGATACTCCTCAGTGAGTACTGTATTACTTATTCTGCTTGGTGTCTAAGCCTCAGACTCAGGTCGTGGTAGTTATCATAGATTCAGTATTTTAAGGCATTCTTGATACTGCAACGATAGCCCTCTACAGCTAACTGAGGCAGCTCTTCTTTCAGACAAACAATGCCTCGTGAGGTTCTTTGCAAACCACGTGCTTGATGGCACGACAGAGCGTTGCACACGTAGATTCTGTCGCTGTGCAACTCTGTTGAAATGGAACTTTTCACCACAGACTCCGCAGGAGCTTCACAATAATTTATTACGGACTTCACCTCACCTGACTACGGTCGAATCTGCTCATAGCTGTAGAACTTGCGGCTTCGCTGCAGTCGTGCGAGCTGAGCGCAGCATGCAAACGCCACCACCGACAACGCGATGGCCACAAAGAATACGGGTGCAAAGCACTGCGCGCCAAAACACTTTTCAACTCCATTAACAGTGCGTGTCGCCGCCGAGTGCTGGTATACATATGACGCCAATGGACTGAAAAAAAGTGGGTATCCGATGCAGTTGGCGATACTCACGAGACCAAAATTCTTGCCAAAGTGTTGTAAACCGAACTCCTCGCGGATGATCACTGGGAACGTGCCGAACATGACGCCCTCCGCGAATCCGGCCATAGCCACAGGCAGCACGAGCCAACTCGGTGGCACAGACAAGAAAACTACCTGCGTGACGACGGTGAGCACAGCCGAGAGTGCAGCAAAGTACGCTCGCGGGTATTTCATCAGTAGAAGATCCGAGAGCGCTCCTGTTACAAGACGGCCGATGGTATTCACGATGGAGAACAGCGCCACCATTAATGGGACCTGTTGTAATGGACCGCCCAGCGATTCCACGATAAACGACACGTTGGACATGACCAGCAAACCGGCGCCAATGACGATCATCACTGGGGTGAAGAGCATCCAAAACCGCATATCCGTTAGCAACGCCACGCCTGTGATGTCGTCGGGTTTCTCGATATCTAAGGAGCCGTTCTCTCCACTCGATTCCATGCCAGTGCCTTCAAAACCAACTTCAATGCTTCCTGATCCGATTTTCTTGTTGTTACGTTCTTCACCACTTGGACGCGCAAATACGCACCAGCCAAATACACAAGCAGCTAGTAGATAATTCCCCACAAAGAGGAAGTAGCCCGGTACGTCGCTACTGTGGAAACCTTCATGGAAGACGAAGGCGAAGAAGGCGCCACCACAGCTGTACGCTGACGTGAGAGTTGCCATGACCTTACCACGGTTGGCATCTCCGAATAGAGACTCGTTGGGTACGATGGACGAGAAGACGCAGAAGGAACTGAGCAGTCCGAACAGCATCATAGCACAGCCGATACCCAGTGGACTCACGCTCTCCGGGGCGAATTGTAGTGCCGTGAACAATGCGAGATGGACGACCAGCATGGCGCTCCCACTGAGAAGAACGCTCGTGTACGGCCCCAACCGGTCGAAGATGACGCCCGGAATGTACGACATGTATGTGCCCAGCATGGTCATAGCGGAGACCGTGGAGATCCCCGCTTGTGTGAAGTGTAGCAGCGTCTTCAGCTGCGCATTCCACGCCGACAGTGCGTAGGTCGAGCCCACCCCGAGCATGAGCAGCACGCCAGCAACAAGGCTGCATGACTGGCGGAGTAGCGACGGCGACGACGTCATTAAGCTCAGGGGTTTGGCTAATGATCAGATCATGGGATTGGTCAGGACCTCTGCCGTGTACATGGCTACATTGTCAAAGCAGAGATTACAGTACCTAAGTACCCCAGTAGGTAATATCTTTCATGTATCTACGATAAGCGGACGTAATGCTGGCGCGACGCGAACTTGAGACTCGCTACGAGTGACACCATACTCAGTGCTATCACTAGTAGGAACACAGGCCGAAAACAATCGTCTCCAAGACACTTCTGGACGCCATTCACGGGTTTGGCCGATAAACTGTACACGAATGAGCCTATGGGGTTGTAAAACAGCGGAAATCCTACAGCATTTGCGACACTGATGAGGCCGAAATTCTTTCCAAAGTGGCGCGCACCGAAAGTCTCGCGTGTTAGTACGGGGAATGCAGCGAACATGACGCCGTCGGCGATACCTGCCAGCGTAATGGGGACGACCAGGTACGCGCGAGGAATGACCAGGAAAAGTGTGTGGATGGCGCCTACGAGAACAGAAGCCAGACTTACGAAATAGATCCGAGGAACGCGATGCAACATTCTGTCGGATATGATGCCGGCCACTACACGGCCGCAGCAGTTGCCAACGGAGAAGAGCGCTACCATGGTCGAGACCTGCTCCATCGGACCACCAAGAGACTCGACAATAAACGCAATATTTGCCATGACAAATAGCGATGATCCCACCAGTATGAACACGGTAGAGAACAGTAACCAGAAGCGTGAGTCGGTCAGGATATCACGGCCAGTGATGTCAGGTTGGGCCGTAGAAATGAGCTGACAACTATCCTCAAGGTCAAAAGTAGACTTCAAGATCGATGTCTCCGGCGGCATAAATTCGTCCAGTGCATGAATAGGTGGAGCAGCAGTTATGACGTGAGTTGAGTCGTCGTTGGCAGGGCGATACAGCGTAACCCAGGCCACCAGAAACACCGCCAGCATCAAACACCCCATGAACCGAAAGTATAGAGGCACTTTCCCATCAAAAAAATGCTTGTAGAGCTCCGCGAACAACGCGCCACCAGCGCTAAAGGCTGCAAACTCCAGTGCCATGACCTTGCCGCGGTTCTCTGGTCCAAAGAGGTCTTCATTCGGCCCCAGTGCCGCGAATACGCCGAAGTTGGTAGCCTGGCCGAGCACTGCGAAGGCGATACCCACACCCAGGGGTGTCATGGCCCCCGGAAACGTCACCAGTCCAGCATAGAGACCAATGTAGATGGCAGCAAGCAGAGAACCGCCCAGCAAAACACTGCGATGGGCACCGATGCGGTCGAAGACGAATCCTGGACTCACGGAGAAGTAGGCGCCAAAGGATGCCATGGAGCAGACGAACGAGATACCCGCCTCGGAGAAGCCCAGCAGCGTCTGGAGCTGCGCGTTCCATACTGAGATCGAGTGATTGGAGCCAACGCTCCCCATGAGCAACAGACCAGCTAGAACGCTAGCTAGGCGGCGGCATCGGTCCCAACCGCATCGCGACGGTGTCATCATGGTGATACGCCAAGTCTTGAGGTATCTGATTGGTTAACACTTTTTTTTTCCTGCTTCAGCGAATCATAATTTTTTCCAGTCACCAGTTTTTACAAAAAAGCTTGCGCCCGAAAAAAAAACTGTGATTCGCTAGGGTATTCAGTCACAAATCGCAAGTTTTTTTTTTTACGAATCGTAACTTTTTTTTTTACTGAAAAGCTTTCACGAAGCACAAGTTTTTTTACTGTTCGGAAGTGGCTGTACTAGCTGGCCTTGAGCGTCCTCTCAAGAGGACTACATCAGAGGTCGATCTATTTATTACCTAGTTGCTGCAAACTCTTGACTATTTCAAGTCATTATGTTGTAGCCTCCTGCTGGGATATATCAGTCAAGAAATCACTATAGCACACCATTCAATACCGTACGTACCATCCGAACTTGTTGTTGGTTCCACATCAGATTCGTTGCATTGTGTACCGTGGCCGTCAAGTTTTAATTTAGAATTGCAATCGACTTGCTGCACGAGGTTTGCGGCATTTAGAACCTCGTGCAGCAAATGAAGATTGTTAAACTAATTTGCGGGCAAATCTCCAAGAAAGCTGTACGTTGGCCGCAAAGCAAGGTGTCTGTAACGCCAATGACTTTTGTCTTGAACCTAAAGCGACCCCAACCTTATCGTCTCGATGGTCGGCGCGAGCCCATACATTTTTCTTCTGTTTTCTTGCAAAGGTGACCAACACCACTACTTGTGCTATTATAAATGCATACCCTGTAGGAATGTATTACACTCAATCAAGCAACGGCGAAAAAGAACCTCTAATATCACATTTACCTTCTAAGTAAGAACGAGAAGCTCGCTGCAGCTTTTCCCAAAAAAGAAAGGGCGGATAATGAATGCAGAAAATGTCCACCAGTTTATCTGCTTAAGTAAAACTCTCGAGACTTCGATTTTCCACTTGCACGCCCCGCTTTCGCTTTGCTCGTAAACCACCAACTACTACACTATAATCCACAGTCTAATTACCACTCATTGAAACTCTTCTCTCTCTTTTCCTATCTCTCGCTGGACCACACGTCTCCAAAGCGTCCTGGCACAGACTGCCGATCCATTACTTAATCGACATCACGCGCACAATGCCACTCTACATTAGCCAATCAGCTTTAGTCATTGCCCCAACCCTGTGTACGGACACACCAACTTGGTGTTCTATCGTCGAACGTAGCGGGACCAGATGGGGCAAGAAGCCAGCGGCCTTGGCGCATTCCACCTCCCGCCCATTGCTCCATTCCGCCCGCTTCCCACGTCGCCATGATGGTCCTGCGCGGCAGCTCCTCACGGCTGTGGCAGGTCGCAGGTCTCTTCCTCTTGACGAGCGCTCTGGCCTCGGCCAATACAGCTCCCTCGCTCTACGGTACGTCCTTATCTCGCGTCAATATGATGCGCATCAACCGTTTTAACCGATATGTAATACAGATTACAAGTATGATGGCACCACGACATACTGCTACTGGATGGACCAGGGCATGCAAGTGTCCAACTTCGACTTTGCCTATGTATTGGAGGAGGGAACGAACTCCGAGTGCCCGCTCACCGTCTCACTACAGCAGGCCACAACAGGCACCATCGTCGCCGGTAGTGAGGTCGAGTACGCCTTCACAGCCACGCTCAACCTCAACGACAACGTATTCAACCTCACACAGTTGCAGACTACCGTACCCGACCCCACCACGGGGCTCCCCATGCAGGTCGGCCATGCCAACATCCACACGTGCTCGCGCTCTACCGTGTGTGATATTTTCCGAACAGGCTCGAACCGCAAGATCGCGGACCAGGAAACGTCCAACTTCACCAGCTCAGGGACAACGAGTTTCCGCCAGAAAATCACGTACAACAGCGCAGGAGAACGCAATGTGTTCGCGCACATTATTCTCCCGCCCAAAGACTATTTGGAGGAGAGTTACCACTTCATCACGTTCATTACGACCAATGTAGAGGCCAGTACGACCAGCACTGCTGATGACGACAGCTCTGGGCTCTCAACTGGCGCTACAGTGGGGATGATTATCGGTGCTGTTGCCATTGTAGTGGCTGTCATCCTCTCCGTGGTCTTCTGGCGTCGTAAACGTCGACCCGGACAGGACACGGATCACTTTAGAAACAGCGGCTTTGGTCTACCGGCGTCGTACGTTGCGTCCAAGTCCAAGTCTCACCTGGACTGGAACGCTGAGCCTGAAGCGAGATTGACGTCGCACGGCTCGGGCTGGAAAGATTACAGTGCGGGAGACCGATCTCGTGGCTCTCGTGGCCCGGGTCTTAACGCCAGTGCCCTGGCCTTCAACGACCGTCTCAGTCGTCAGAATAAAACCGTGTCCTCCTCAGGGTCTCTGCACTCGAGTCGCGGTCCAGCTGACATCTACAACAACTACGACACGCCCATGCAGCGCTCAGCCGCTAAGTTCGGCTCCGCTAGAGATCCGTTCAACCGGTCGCAGTCCATGTATCCGGACGACTCCATGTATGACGATGGGGAGTCCAGAATCGTCGAAGAAGACCCGAATCTCGAGTACGGACGCACTCCTGACCTCGAGACGTTCGGGATCGGACCGGGAGGCCAAGGACCTTCATTTGAGAGCGAGACGTCTATCGGAACTTCGTTCGAGTACAACACGGACGACTCGCACTACAACCAGCCGACGTTCAACCCGCTGCTAAGTGGCTACGGCGACCGTGAGTCCGACATGTCAAGTATGGGCGAGACCGACGACTACAACATGTACGAGCAGCCACCACCTCGTATGCGTGGTGACACACTGGACGCTGTACTTACTGCCATGCCGGACGACCAAGGCAGTGAGAGTGGCGATCGTCCCAGCTCCGTGTCTTCCATTGGTACGGTGGACTTTACGCAAGACGAGCCTTCTGTTCGATCGGCTAAGCCCATTACTTTTGAGCCTCTGGATGAGACGTTAACTATGTCTGGTATCGCGAAGGCGAAGGCTGCCAACTCTGGCTTGGCTAACACCAACTCGAGCGAAAACAACGAGTTTGTTCTTCACGATAGCTCGGTGGATCTGGCCACTTCAAACGTTAGCAGCGACTACGCCAGCACCGTCAGCTCGGTTGATATTGATGGCAACAGGAAGTTCGACAATACGCTTAACAGCACCAGCGACATTGTGAGCAACGCAGACATCGTTAGCACCACAGACTTCGAGTCTAGCGTCAATACGGACTTCGCTAGTAACATCGCGAGCACGGAGTTCAGCGCCAGTGGCAACGGGGACTTTACTAAGCCGAGTAGTCACAGCGATGGCAGCTTCAGCAGTGGACTGGAAGGCTCGAGTTTTGACTCTGGACTCGAAAGCTCGAGTTACGGCACGGATGTTACTGGCAGTAGCTATGGTACCGGATTGACTGGATCGAGTTACGGTACAGACGTGACGGGCAACAGCTACAACACTGACCTGGCTGACTCTGCACTGGACGCGACCAAGACAGAGAACGACCTCAACAACACCCACTCGACCTACGACTTTGACGACAAATCTTTCCGTGCTTCCAACTCGTTCGCTGCGTCTGCATCAGACGATGACCCGACTGGCGAGGGCCTCCGCCCGAGACGTGTATCTTCAGCTGATGGGGAGAGCTACGAATTCTAAATTGGTTGGCTGTTCTAGAATTTGGTAGCCTCAAGTTTTGATGCGTTCGTCTGCGTGGTGAAGAAAGTCGCTTTCCAGTCGCTTATAGAGGAAAGATCGACATGGGGCGCAATGGAACGCCTACGGAGCTTAGTCGCTTCAGTTTCTGGTTGGAAATGTGGAGTTTTTAGTCGTGGGTCAAGATAATTCCGATGTGGAATATGGAGACGACTGCGCCGTAGCGTATTTTATTTTCTTTTTGATCTCAATTTTTCTTCGCGAAAGTTTTTCGGCACCGATGTTGGATATCCATGTTATTTTCTCGAGATACCAAGATCGGGAGCATGTAAGGACCTGAACACACGCTTGTCGTATTTAACTTTTTGAACACGAAACATGAACATGAAAAACAGTCTTCGCTTTGATAAGTTAATCGTGGATTTAAAGAAGTCGCAAAGATAAGCTCGGTGTATCCTATTAATACTGAGCTGTGCTAGTTCACTTGCTGACGGGCCAACCACCTTGAGGGCAAGTGAAGTTGGCTTAAGTTTTGGGATGAAGGAGTCAGAGGTCCAGTATGGAGAAAAAGCGACCAAAGTGGCGAGACCTAGTGTCTCTGCTTCAGGCTCACGTGGAACTTTCAGTTGTCGAAGATGGCGATTGCTAACAGGAAAGCCAAAAGATGACGAAGTTTTGAGCCACAAACCACGTGCAGCTACGGCCAGCTCTCGAATAGTGGAGCGGCCAACGACGGCTGCAGTGGATTCCAAGAACTGGGCCACTGCAGCGACACCTTTTGCAGCCTTTCTGCCGAGAGATACCATCGTTCCAATTACTTCTCGTAAATCTGTGGCTGCTGCTGTCTTGACCTCGACGCACCCACAGGAAAAATGTAAGGAATTTGATCGTGAAATGGCCATATGTGAACGCAAACACGTTAAGGCGATGGGGAGAATGACGACGAGAATTTATCGTAAAGGAGAAGAACACTCCGAATCAGTTAGAAGTCAGAAAACCCGAGAAAAGAAGACGATAAAGGACCAGATCTACCTGCCAGTTTTGTGCCAGACACGAACGGATGAGCCTCGAGATTTATCGCCTCGTATATCCAAGCTGCTATACTCGTCATCTCAACAACACACGTCTCAACACGCCACTCTTAACAGCATCCCAATACCAGATTCTTTAGCAGGAATGAAGCTTCTATCATCTCAGTTCGACGAACTTCGAGCTAGTCTCGAGAATTCATCGAAAACGAAAAGATTGTCAGAAAATTTATGGTACCCGACGCCACGACACCCAGCTAAGCTACAATCTCAAGACACTGCTAGCAGCTCCAGCAGTATAGAAACGCTTTTACTTCGGGTATTAGATCGACCATTAGCAATTTTGGACGGATACCAGGCTGATCACGAGGAAAACTCGAGCGACATGGACACAAAGTCTCTGGAAAGCAGAAGTGCCAATAACAGTGAAGCCGATTTGCAAATTCTACTTAGTGCACTCGACTCCTCCAGTCGAATCTCGTGTCAAGAACAAGCCCCACACCCTGCATCCAATTTTAAACCCGATGGTGGAGAGTCGCAACTTGAATACAATGGAGAAGTTGGGACAGAATAGCAAGAGCACCTCCATCGGTTCGATACGACCGAGTATACAGCAACACGATGTGGGCGCTGACGTGACGCTGAATCGTAAACAGAAGCCTGCGAGTGCGTACAAGTTCTACCAAAAGCTAGTTCAGGACTTTGACTCCTTAGAGCGAGAGATGGAGAGTCATCAAGAGCAACAAAAGCAACTAGAGGCTCAGTTAGAACGTGCAAAAGCGAAAATCCAAGCCTCGAAAGCTCAAGATCAGCAAGCGCAGAAGCTTCAATGGGAACGCGAACGCGATAACCAACTGGAAATATTCGTCCAGCAACGCACTACTATCGACAATCTCCGAGCTCAAACAGAAGAACTGGAGGCTCAGGAATTGCGTCTTCAAGCTGAGATGGAAGTTCTGCATGAGAAACAACAAGAAGCCAGCGAGACTGAAGCTCGTCGAATCCGTCGACTTGTCCATGAGCGGACGACACTACTCGAAGACGAACTAGCAAAAGGAAAATTGGATCTGGACTATATCACCCAAGTCGTCTCCTCTGCTCACCGTCAAGAACTAAAGCAAAATCAACCTGACAACCACGAGAATACTGCATTGTCCGTGAATAATCTTGTACAAGATGTTCAGGAGCGAAGACGTCGAGACTTTGAAGTGGCGGAATCGAATTTTCTGAATAGGATGCGCAGTTTCCAACTCGAAAAAGATGAGTTGGCTAAGAAAGCGAAGGAGTTGCAAGTGACGAAGAAGCGAGCGCTTCAGATCTTGTCACAGAATCAACAGCTCGCTATCAAAAGTTTTTTCGATACACCATTAACTGAGGAAAAAAGATCGAGTTCTCCATCTCTAGATTTTGGGGAAATTCTACAGTCGCTTAATCAGAGTGGATCGCAAGTGAAGCAGATCCAAGCTGTTGGTTCAGAGCGAAACTCTGGTCGCCGGAACTTTGCGGATGCTCTTCAACAAGCACGTGCCAATTTGGAGAGAGGAAGCAAACGTATTGAAGAAATTCAAAAGAATTTAGAGAGCCGAAAGATTGAAGCTCAAAAATTAGGTGTCTCGATTTCAGGAGCGATAGCTACGGGGTACGATGGAAAGTGGGGGATTGAGTCCTATTCTCCAAGGCAATATGAGACGGTTTATTTCGTGCGTACACTTGTGTTTTCGTGGATAAACACGGCAGTAGCAGAGGTTAATGCTGCACCAGATAAAGAACTCCTTGAATTTGAGGTAAAACGTTGGAGTGCTACTCATCGTAGTGTTGAGTATGATCGTGATCGAGAGAGGAATTTCAGCCTGGCCGGGTATATACTTGATAATTTGATGCGAGAAGTCATCATTGAAATCGCAGCGGACATTCGATCGGAGTTTGAGTGGAATTGCCATCGTGTTCGAGATACTATTACAACTGCTATCAATAATGTTTTGTTCCCAAGCGAGAAGTTTGTGCCTCCACAGGCCAAGGAAACACCCGCCAAATCTCAAGGACCTTTGTGGGCATTACGGTCTTCACTGTTCGAGTTCTCTTTTGATCATATGCGGACACTTCGAAATCGTCGAAATAATTCAAGTTCTATCGCCCATGTACATCAAACCACTTTGCCAGTATCACGACGGCAAGCAGCAACGACAAAACCCCCTCCCCCGACAACTAAAAGCCCAGCAAAAAAGATGTTCGGGCTCTTTAAGATATCAAGAGGTGGTGCAGCACTCGAAGTAAAGAAAGAAACATTAGAACAACCACAGGTTGTAATGTCCAAGCCTGATGCTGAAATTATCCCGTTTATTCCTTCGGACAGACCCACTTCGCCACCAGATACATTTACTACGACATTTTGGCAGAACCCGCAACTTCGTCTACGAACAATCACAATGCCGTCGTCACATGGTCATTCTTCATGCTTACAGATATCATCAACTGGTGACCTATTGATCTGCGGTACAGTCGACGGTGAGCTTATACTCTGGGATCTTCTCCCTGATCAGCCACTAATTATCCGGATGTGGTCACCACCAAAAGCCGAGCGTTCAAGGATTATTCGAGTGGTTTTAAGTCCCGACTCCCAACTTGTGATAGCGTTCTCCAGACGCAAAACCATCGGAGTTTTTGCCATTAACCCGACCAATACTACTTCCCAAGCCAAACCAAAACATGCTACGCACTCAGAAGATCGCTTTCCAGTTGATCCCAAGAAATACAAACCCCGCATTTTTGAACTTTTAATGCAAATTTCAGCAGCTGATGCGTTGGCCGAGCTGACATTCACGTCTGCACTGCATGATCGAGCACCAAATGCTGTCTCTAAGAACCCAGTAGCGAGTTCGTCAGCCGCTGAGTTGACCTGTGGGTCATTCTTCGCATCGTTTTCTCATACTGGAATAATGAAAGCTACCAGTATTTTATTCGGAGCTTCGACGGGTGACTTGTTAAAGATAAACTTGAATCCTCAGCGTGAGGATGAAGCTCAATGGGATATTATTCAAGCAGCATTTGACTCTCCTGGTCAAACTGATACCAACTCACTCAGCACAAAACTCATCCGACGCGAGTTCTTTCGAGGCCACCGACGAGCTGTTTTTTTCGCCTCGTGCATACATCGACAGAGTAGCGAGCTACAACCCACTGAGATTCTTAGTGTAGATCAGGACGGCGTCGTGTGTATCTGGGAGTACAAAGCAGCAAAATTCGCTGGATTCGGATGGTTCGAGCCAACTGTGAAGCTGCAGATGGAGTTAGGGCTTGACCAAATACAAGGTGAGATGTTGCAAGTCGCTCTGACACCGGATCACACACGACTCGTTTCAATGGTGTTCTACGCTGACCCGACGAAGAAGGAGGTTGCAGGAACTCTCCGTTTCTTACAGATTCTTACGTCATCAATGCGGCTCGATCGGGTACAGATGAGTACGAATTTTGTTGGAGGTAATGGTGCTCCTCGATTCGCACTCACCAAGAATTTTCTTCTGCTCTTGGCCAACAACGTCGTTCGAGTGTTTACATTGCGTACAGGAAAAGAGGCGCAACAATCTATCGTACTCTCACCTCCAGGTCAGCAACAACTTGTCTTCAACAATATTACGTGTAGCACCAGTGTCACACACAACAAACCTGATTCTCCTATGAAAACATCGAGAGGTAGGCCAGTCCCCACCACGATAACTTTTGTCGTGTCCGGCGATCAGCATTCTCGGCTGCTTGTCCACTCGTTTACTGCTTCCTCGTCACTAAGTTCAAATAATATCAAACACCTTCACTGATTCCTGCCATGATCATCTATTCTCCGAGTTTCCTTCTACCAGATTCGAGTGCCACACTATTAACTGGCATGTTTCAAGAAGTGCTGGTGTCTGGGCATATTGCGTCTGGAACGTACTGTCCTGTACCAGTCGAACGTACTCATCCACCACTAAGGGAGGGTTATCGCAGTCCTCGTTGAAGAGGAAGAACGTAGTGTTGGCGGGTAACGAAAGACGTAAACCACGCGAGAATACAAGCCCAATCCTGGCTTCTACGTTGTTCAGCGCTTCTTTCGAGTCCGTGATCACATTAATTGCGAGAATCCCGCCAGGAACAAGTAAACGCTTTGCTGTATGTAAGAAATCCGAGTCCAACATACCAAGCGGTGGCGCTCGCACACCGTCGCAGCTCTCTCCAGCCTCAACATCGATCACCAACATGTCAAGCACAGCATCCTCCTCTTGTTCGTCGAGGAAAGCTTCGCCCATTTTCTCGTGGATCACAAGTCTAGAGTCACGCTGTACAGCTGCATTAACTCCAAAACAGCGCTGCGCAATAGAATTCACTTGACTGCTCGGCTCGACAGCATCAAGCTGTCCAAGTTCCTGTGATGAATGGTGCTCCAGAAGGAAAAGCGGAAGCGCACACGCTCCAGCACCCAATACAGCTATACGAACCGGCTTATCTCGCTTGGGAAGCCACGCCAGAGGCAAACACAAGGCCCTGTGGACTTCAAGCGCCAATGTACTTCGATCAAACTCCGGCTCAGCCTCCGAGTTGGCATCCGGCATCTTGATAAGCGCCACTTCACTCTGTGTCAAGTGCAGACGGTCATTGAAAACGAAACTGCGCGTGGGCTTCACTGCTCCGTCAAAAAAACTGTCCAGAACTGTGACTTCATCGTCGTTGTATACAATGCGTCTTGAAAACTTGTCGAAGAATTCCGCTTTGTACTGCGCCACAAAATCTGGCTCGACTTCTTTCAAGTCACGCAGCATTTGCTGCAGCTCGTCGTACGTGAAGTTCTCGCCTGATCGGTGGATCTGCGACCAACAATAATAAACAACTGACATCAGTATTGTTATGTCCTCTAAAATGTATCAAGTAATTTCAATTCTCACATCGTGTAGAATGGTCTCCGACATGACGTCGTCGAAGGAATAGGCCGGAATGGTATCCTGTTTGTCCTCTTGAGTCACTTGGATACCTTCGCAGTCTGCAGCTGCAAGCTGCCAGTCATAATCCGATACGAGATGCTGTGGCCACCACGGAAACGTCCGACACTGGGTCGGTCTTGCTACAGAGAGAGGAACAAAAGTGAGCAAAACTTATAGTCCGGTCAGGGAGCATTACCGGATACCTTGATAGACTGAGCACTTGGATCCTTGTAAGAAGATGCACTGTTTGTCATCGGATGTTTGTTTCAGCACTAATTGCGTCCTCTTCTGTCCACCGACGTCTTCTTCTACTGCACGGGTGAATTTCCGCTTGAACTCGGATATTGACGAATGTGTGGCTGCAGCCAACTCCTCCACCTCTCGGTCGTTCACGCGCACGCGACCACCTTTACCAGTGCAACATTTGCCACAACCTGTACAGCGGAATCGAAGCCGGGCTTCCTCTCGATTGGCTGACCAACTCCGCAGTCCACGCACACGCAGCCCACGCGATGCCATGCCCGTTCAATTGCCAACGTAATTTTTGTGATTTCACTAATCACAATATTTGCTTGAATTCAAAAATTTATATTTCATTGGTTTGGAGTACCGCAAAAATAAATTACCACATAATACTGAAAACAATGAACTTTCTCCACCAATCAAAACCGAGCTGCATGTCATTGCTCAAGATGCTGTCTCGAAGTGTGCGGTGCCGGCGTCTCGCACTTCTGCGCTCGTTGCGCCAGCCGCGGGCAGGCCTAGCCACGCTCTCGATCCGCGACGACCGTATTGCTCTTTGGACGCAGGAGTTGGAGCGACAGCAGGCGACTCAGGATCAGGCTATCCAGGACGCTTTAACCCGAGCAGAGCCGCTAGACTTGGCTGTGCAGTCCCCAACTGGAGATACCTTCGCATTTAGCGGCGTTGCAGGTGCCTCCACGTCCATCGATGTGCTCAAACAGATGCACGAACTGGGATTACCCAAATTTCAAGCTCTAGCAGCCAAGAACGAGGACACAGGCGAGGTGCTGGACCTGCGAGCGCCACTACAGCGTTCGGGGACGCTGCAATTACTCGAGTATGATAGGATCTTAAAGTGTTAGTAACTTGCTCTCTAACTGTAAGTTGTTTGCTATGAGCAGCTTCTCGAGTGACGAAGGCAAGAGCGTCTTCTGGCACTCGTCGGCCCATGTACTGGGCCAGGCGCTTGAGAACAAGTTCCAGGACAAAATCCGACTCACAGATGGCCCACCACTTAAGGAAGGAGGCTTCTTCTATGAGATGTTCCTGCAGGACGAGCTTACAGTGTCTGAGACGGACTTTGCCGAGCTGTCTCGTAGTATTAAGAAGATCGTCAAGGCCAGACAGCCCTTCGAACGGCTCCAGGTGACGCGTGAGTTCGCGGACGAACTCTTCGCTTACTCGGACTTCAAGAGGGACATGCTACATAAAATCCCAGAGGGTGAGACCATCTCACTCTATCGTTGTGGCCCGCTCATTGACTTGTGCCGTGGTCCTCACGTCCCTCACACTGGTAAGTGGACTGTATATTGGCTGTGTATTGGACTATTATATGCTACATGCAGAAGAGAGCGAGAGAGCAACTGAGAGTTGATTATCTGCTCTCTCGGCTACATCGAGTGCTCTCCTCACTTGGTCCTATAGAAAACTCTGTCGATCGAACGACTCTCCACTCTCGCAGTGAGTGTTGGCGAGCTACACGTTGACACACATCTTATGCATTTGTCGAGTGAAATTCTACAATAACTAACCAACCTTCTTATCTGTATTCTTGTAGGCATGTTGTCATCGTTTGAGATCACGAGATGTGGTGCGTCACACTGGGAAGGCAAGGAATTACTTCAACGCGTGTACGCCATCTCGTTCCCTAACAATGCGCAGCTGAAAGAGTGGCGTCATCTGCAAGAAGAGGCCAAGAAGCGCGACCACCGTCTTATCGGACGTGCTCAGCAGCTCTTCATGTTCCACCCACTCAGTCCTGGCTCGTCGTTCTTCTTGCCTCATGGTACGAGAGTGTTCAACACACTAGCAGAGTTTATCCGCGGAGAATACCGTCGTCGCGGATACGACGAGGTCATCACGCCGTTGATTTTCAAGAAGGAACTATGGGAAACATCAGGCCATCTCAAGAACTACCACGACGACATGTTCATGGTGTCCCAGGGCATCGACACGGACGCATGTGAAGACCACGACCACTCTCATGATGAAGAAGAGTACGATCAGTTTGGACTGAAGCCGATGAACTGTCCCGGACACTGTTTGTTATTCCGTGAGGCCAAGAAATACTCGTACCGAGAGCTACCTGTGCGTCTTGCAGACTTCTCGGCGCTTCACCGCAACGAGGCATCTGGTGCACTTACAGGACTCACGCGCGTTCGACGCTTCCATCAAGATGACGCACACATTTTCTGTACGGCAGCTCAGGTGCAATCGGAAATCTCTCAAGCTCTGGACTTCATCAAGCACGTGTACGGCATTTTCGACTTCAAGTTTAACTTGCGTCTTTCCACGCGCCCGGAGAAGTACATGGGTGATCTCGAGCTCTGGGATGACGCCGAAGATCAACTGCGTTTGGCCCTGGATGACTTTGGCCAGCCCTGGACTGTGAACGAAGGTGACGGAGCATTCTACGGCCCAAAGATTGACATCGTGGTGACGGATGCACTGAAGCGACAGCATCAATGTGGCACGATCCAACTGGACTTCCAACTGCCGATTAACTTCGAGCTGGAGTACGATGGCGCCGATGGGGAGGCCCACACTCCTATCATCATCCACCGAGCGGTTCTAGGGTCGATTGAGCGCATGATGGCCATCCTAATTGAGCACACGGGAGGCAAGTGGCCTCTGTGGCTCAGTCCTCGACAGGTGGCTGTGCTGCCTATTGCTGAGGCACATCGTGAATACGCCCACGAGGTCGCGAGTAAGCTGCAGAACGCTACCACTCGAGGTCTCTACGTTGACGTGCAAGACGGCAGCAAAACGCTGAACAAGCGAGTGCGTGAGGCTCAGGTTGCAGGCTACAACTACATCCTCGTTGTAGGCGACAAGGAACAGGCTGCTGGAGAGGTAAACATCCGCACACGTGACAACCAAGTGCACGGCGCAAAGCCTCTCCAAGACTTTATCGATGACATCAAGGCCGCTATCGAGCGTCTAGAATAGAGTAGACAAAAGAGCATGCAAAATAAAAGTCTTTGGTGCTTTAGTGTATCGAGAAGTCCTCGGTCGGTTCAGGTTCTGGAGCGATGGAGAGTTCACCGACCACGAGCTGGTTAAGAGCTCGATTGCCATCCCAACCGCCGAAGAGGAAAAGATGAGGGCCAACCAGAGTCGATGTGTGGCCGTAGCGGTTTGCCACAGCTACGCCATACGCAGTCACACGATGCCACTCCATGTTCTGCACGTCCAGTACTCGCGCGTACGAGGAGGTGGTACGAAGGTCTCGTTCGTGTTGTTTCTTCCGTTCACGCTTCTTCCGCTTCTGTTCACGTTGGTTGTTGCTACTGACGAGACGTTGCTCTCGACTCTCTTGTCGAACAAGCTCGCGAAGTTGCTTGTCTCCCATGTACAGCGGCGTACGCTCAGTACCGGACCAGCCACCAAGCATCACTGCTAGCTCAGCTCCACTGCCAGCGCCTGCAAGGTTCAATGACTGGCCGAATGTGCCGGGTGGGTACTCACCGACAAGTCTGGGACGACTCCAGGCCATCGCTGCAACGTCGAAGACGTACACGTCCTTGTTGTACACTGGCAGTGTATCGGGTATCACAGTGTATCCGCCGTACAGGAGGAGAGATGGCGGACTGTCTTCGTTGTTGGAGAGCCCTACCATCGACAGATTTTGGCGTGCAGTGGGTGGTTTACCCGCACATTTCGGTCGACGCCAAGTGAAGGTGGTCGAGTCGAAGACCCAGAGATCATTCATGCTCTTCTTGCCGTCCCAACCACCGAAGACGAACATTTTCTCGTCATCTACCGACGCGACTGCGTGACCATAGCGACCAGCAGGACAGTCCGTGGTCCACTGCACTTGTTGCCAAGCCATGGCGTTCAGATCGAAGAAGAACATGTCTCGAAAGGCTTCGCCTTGTGCACCGCGACCTCCGAAGACGAACATACGCTCGTTATCGTTCAACAGTATTGCTGAGTGACCGTATCGTGGAGCTGGTAGCACAACTGCATCAGCTTCACCTTCATCAACCCGCTCTCGACGTGGTTGTTCCTTTGGGAAGACCACCTCAGCCCAAGACGAAGTTCCAAGATCTAGGCGATGCAAATCGTTCAGGTACACAAACCCGCCTGCACTACCGAAGTAGTGACCTCCAAAGATTAACAGGTGAGTCCCTGCTAACACCGCTGAGTGGCCACCCCGAGCGCTCGGCGGTTTACCTTCCAACGAAGGCACCGACCACTGTAGACTCACTCGACTCGCTCGACTAGCCAATGCATCGCTCTTGCGACGAGAGCTCACAGCTAACTCCTCTGGACCTTCTTTCATTGGGGTTCTGCTTTAACGAGACGACTTAACAAAGCGGCGCCTCACTATGGTCTTGAAACGCATTGGCGACGACCAACACCGTCAACTTCGATAATAGCTGAGGTCTCTTCCTCCAAGAGTCGATATGCAGCACCCGTAAGACGACTTGCAATTTCCAACGCCGTCTCTAAGTGCTGTGATGTACGTTGTGCCTTGCATGGTACACGTAAACGAGAAGTACCTTGTGCCAACGCCATGAACACCACGGCGTTATCAGCGAGATGTTCATCAACACATGTGCCACTCTGGACGTACTCGCTGAGCTTCGAACTCATCTGATCGGCAAGAATACTGGCGGTAGACTCATTCACGTTAACCGTACGGTCGAGTGAAATGATCCCGTTGGTTGCAGTCTCCAGCACGACAAGGGAAGAGACAGCAGTTTTCTCCTTTGCTTTAAGGACTTTAGAAGCCTTCTTCTTCTGGTTTGTAGCTGCTGTGGTCTCCACGATACATTCCACTTCCAACTCAAGATCTTCACTCAGTCTAGTGAATGTCTGGGTAATGGCTAGTTTCAACGCACTCGCGTAATGCTCTGCCATCTTTTCGTTCGCCGAGGAGCCACATGCTGTCACTCGAATGAATACATGGCGAATAGATGTAGAAGACTCGGTAAAATCGATCGATTGCAGCGTCTTCTCAGCATCGACAGGGTTCACAGAGACCTGCACTTGACCACTGGGACCACCTCCAGGAAAGAACATGCGCTTGGATACTTCTAAATTGTAGTTGAGACCAAAACGTGCAAGGAGGGAACGAAGAGGAACCTGCATGAAGTCTATCGTCGGGCTAAAGCCAACGTGTGTACCACCACGTAAGCTTAATTCCGTCGAGCTGTCGCGGAAAGTCAATACTGGGAATGCACCTTGAAGCATCAAAGAGATACTGCCACCGGTACGTGAGGCGGCACTAAAGGCCCCTCCTTTAGCACCAGTCAATAGCGCTGATCGTGCATCGAATGTGAGATCTGTTGAGTTTAACCGCGCACCTGACAGTTTTCCACCAGCTGACAAAGCAGCCACCAGCTCAATCGTACTCAAATGTTGGTTCCTTAAACCGGGAGCCTTTCGGTTCGCACGGATGGAATGCACACGAACAATACGTTGCGTCACAGCAGCTAAAGCCGTCGCGACACGGAGCAACTGCCCTCCACCTTCTCCATCTCCACCGTTTAATACAACAGATCCTTCAATTTCCTGGTTTTTCAGTCTGCATTTCAACAGGTGAAGCCGTCTTCTCGTCATTGACTTGTTCACGTAGTCGAAAGAATCGTCGAGCATTTTCCGTCGTAGCTTTTGCCACTTCATCTTCAGAGATGCCGTAACAACTTGCTAGCGTCCGCACTACAGCCGCAATATCTTTCGGTTCACACCGTGCACGTTTCTTCTGCCTACCAACATTGTACGGGTACATGTATGGTGCGTCGGTCTCAATCATAAGTCGATCAAGTGGAATCCTTGGCACCATTTCTTTCACTACAAGTCCCCGTGGCTCCATACATACAAAACCTGTAAGGCCAATGTAAAAACCCATTTCTAGGTACTTCATCATCTCGTTCTCATCTCCTGTGAAGCAATGCACCACTGTTGGAGGCAATACTCCGCTTTCCACAAAGGGCTGGAGCACTTCCACCAATGCCTCATGAGCCTCTCTCTCATGTACGAATAGCGGCATCTTAAGTTCGCATGCCAGAGCCACTTGGGCCCTGAACGCCTTCACTTGGGCATCTCGGGGACTGTAGTCACGGTTAAAGTCGAGTCCACACTCGCCCACAGCCACCACCAGGTCTCTGCCTTCGCTTGTGATGATCGAACGTATCTCAGCAATAGTGGAGTGCTCATCGAAGCTCTTGGCGTCGTGTGGATGCACTCCCACAGTCGTGAATAGCGCCACACCTGAAGATGCAGCATGGTGCTTGGCTTGCAGCAGTGCGGAGCGGCTCTCGTCCACGCTGGTGCCTGTGATGATGATGCTGTCTACACCCGCCTGCTTAGCTCGACGCAATACTTGATGAAGGTCCCGACGGAACTGGCCGCTCGTTAAGTTCGCACCGATGTCCACAACGCTCCGTCTTGCCATTGCTACAACACTGTGTCAATCCGAAAATGGCAATCTCTTTGCGTATCAAAAATGTCAACCCACACTTAATAGACCATCACTCAGCGACCCGAACCTATGTACAGAACACTAAATAGGGCTTAGAAATGGCTCCCTCTTTCATTCATTTCAATTGACAAGAGCCATCATGTCGGTGTCGCTGGACCAGTCGGCGGATGCTGAGTTCCTGCGCTTCGTGGCGCGTTTCTGCGGCGTCAACCTCGGCTCGGCTGCATCAGGCCGCCTGCGTGTCCGTCTGGGCAAGACCACGGAACTGTACGAGCCCTCGACGATCGCCAAGTACCTCGCGCGCTTGGCCGATCGCGAACATGAACTGCTGGGCCAGACGCCTTTCGAGCGCGCTCAGGTAGCCATGTGGCTCGACTTCGCGCGTGGCATCCAGCGCTGCCCTCCTTCCGCCGCACCTATTCACTGGCAGGTTCTGGAAGCCTCGCTGCAGCAGAAAACCTACCTGGCAGCCAACCGGGTGACACTCGCGGACGCTGCGCTCTTCTACACGCTCTACACAGCCGTGAAAAGCTTCTCGCCGGCACAGCGCGACCAGTTCGCCAACCTCGTTCGCTGGTTCGACCAGGTGCAGCACACGGTGGGCGTGCGGGGCTTTCGTAACTTCGACGTCATCGACCTCGCGCCCAAGCCCATCGCCTTCACGGCCTAGGAAGAAACAACGACAGGAGGTTCAAGTAGATGCAGAGACAGCAATGGACACAACAGAGCTTAATCTGCAATAATAGGCACGGGTATCCCGTTGCTCTTAGTTATGAGCGCTACGCTGATGAATCAAAATGTGTATATAGCTCTATTCTCATGGACACGGTTGGAGATCTACTTGGTCTTCCGCTTCTTATTGGCGGATTGACGTTGCTGCTTCTCGCTGATCTTCTTGGCCAATGATTTCTTGGCTTCCTCGCCCTTACTCCAGTACTGACCATCGCGTTGACGGAAGCTAGCCTTGGGTGCGCTTCCAGCCGCATCCAAACTGATCAACACCATGCGGTCACCGATCTTCATGCCACTGCGACGAGCAGCAGCGAGAGCTTCGTCCTCGCTCGAGAACTCGACGTATCCGAAACCCTTGAGCTTCTTTGTGTGGTTCCAGATAGGCAAACGCACACTGGAGATGGTACCACATGAAGCCAAAGCTTGACGAATGGTGTCCTCCTCAACCTCGTAAGGAAGCTGCTTGATGTACACCGTACGACATCCTTTGATTGCCTTCTTGGTCGCGTTCTGGTTCTTCTCCTTCAGTGCCATCTCTACAGCACGAGGAGCTTCAGCTCGGCTGATCGACAGGTAGCGGTTGAACAAGTACTTTCCATCAAGTTTAAGCGCCTTCTTCAGTGCAGTCTCGTCGTCAAACACGACGTGAGCGTAGCCGCGGGGCTTTCCAGAGTCCTGGTAACGCGGCATGCGCACCTCACGCACTGTACCGCAAGACGAGAAGTGCGTAACCAAGTCGCCTTCATTGGCTTTGTATGGGATTCCTTCCACGTAGACCGTGGCCTCCGTCTTGCGGTCAATCTCTTCTTTGAGCTCTTCATCCTTTTCTTCCGGCTGCTCCTTCTTCTCTTTCTTTTTATTCTCCTGCTTCACGGGAGCTGCAACTTCTTCCTCATCAGATGACGAGTCCTCCTCATCGTCGGATTCTTTCTCGTCCTGCTCTGGTTGGGATTCGGTCTCATCTTCAGGCTCTGCCAGCTTGGGGGCAGGTCGGAACATCGCGTTTTCTACCTCGTCGTCCTCGCTATCGCTGCTGCTCTCAGCAGATGAAGAAGACGACGAAGAGGCATCGGATTCAGCGGCCTTCTCGGCGTCGGCATCGCGGCTGCGCTTCTTGCTCTTGAACAACGACGGCGCCATGGCTGCAACAACGAGAACTTGATGGGCAACGATAATGACGCTTCAAAGTGCTGCCAGTCAATTTATCCCAAGATGATTGGTTAAAAACCCACTGGTCTTATTTTCTGCGAATAAGAGGACAGGGGGACATTGTACCACATCAAACGCATTTTTTTTACGACCAGCATGAGCTCGGACGAGGAGGAGGTGAAGTTGTATAGTGCGCTGGAGCGCAACAAGAAGCGCCAGATGATGGGTACGTCGCAAGACGCAGTCAATTATCTACATGCTGATATCCTGATCACCTCCTAAAGCCTTCTACACGCTGCGTAATATCGTTTCAAATCCTAACATTGCATTTTTCTACCATGTGCAGTATCGCTTTCGTCGTCATCCGACGAAGGAGACGACGACGAAGACTTCGAAGACTTTACGATATTGGAGACACCCACCAAGAGACGACGACAAAGTGCGTCACCTGCTCAGGCCAAGAACGGCAAGAGTCCATCTAGAGCAGGTAATTCCAGTGACAGAGTGTGACAATGTCACCTAAAGCTGACCGTGCTTTTTATTTACTGCAGGGAGGAAACTACTGAATGACAGTGATGAAGACGACGATGATTTGTACACACCCAAGGAACGTGAGGCAGAACGTTTAAGAAAACTACGATTGGAACAAGAAATCCGCCAGAAACTGGAAAAGGACAAGGTACTGAACCAGACGCGAGCCATTTTGAACAAGGTATCGACTACAAAACGACAGACGACTGTAAACAACATGGAAGTCATCTCGCTTGACTCGGATTCCGACGATGAGAGCGACGAAGTTGCCCCAGTTGTACCCGTTGCACCCCCACAACAGCCCGTTGTCGACAAAGGACCGCGGATCATTCTGCACATTCGTTCCAACGGAGGTGCTGTTGACGAGATTGCCATTCACAATGTAAGAATGTCCAGGTTGTGTTGCTACTCTCTTTGGACCGAATTTAACCGTGTAGTTTTTTTTGTCTGCAGAAAGATACTTTCGAGCAGTTATACATGAGTTTTTGCGAGCTGCATGGACTGCCACGATCGGCTATCAAGATGACACTCGATGGTGAGGCTCTACCACTTACTGGAACTCCGGCAAGTGAAGATTTGGATACAGGTGACATTATTGAAGCCAAGGTGGACTTTTCAAAGCAGAACGAGGCCAACAAGAAGAAATACCTGCGCTTACGCCTTGTGGTGTTTGGCAAGCGGTCGGAGGTCTTCAAGATTGATTCGGTACGTAAGAGACACCTGATCACTTTACCACTTTAACACTAATGTGGTTCTGCACAGACTGCGACGGTGGCGAAACTGCATGGGAGCTACTGCCAGCGACATGGCATCACCAACCCAGACGATGTCGTTATGGGCATACAAGATCAACGACTTCAGCTGAGCGAACGCCTTAACTACTACGGACTGATCGACAATGACGAGATTTTGGTGAAAGTCAACAACTACGTGGCTCCACAGCCTCAATCCCGGACCATTGACCTCCAGCTCCGATTCCCGGAAGGTGATAAGGCTACGCACCAAGTTGTTCCAGTACGTTCCTGCTTGTCTGCTTGGATTTCGTGTGGTCTGAATGAACGAGTTACTTTGTTATATAGACCTCAAAGGTTGAAGCTCTGTTAGTAAAGATCGCAACCGAGAGAGATTGTGAAGTATCCAACATATCGCTCATGATCGACGGAGAGAAAATGTCAGCATCACAAACCTTTAAGGTCAGTGGCTGAAACGTTAACCCCATGGCATTTCCGCAATATGTTTATTAACTCACTATTTGTTACCTTGTGACAGGACTACGACGTAGAAGGTGGAGAGCTGATCGAGGTCAAGATCGTGTCTTGACCATGCGAGTTTTGATAACGTTTTCGAAGTACGGCGGGCCTGTAACATATCCTTATTAGCCATCTACTCGACAACTTTTCCTTCATCGGCTTGACCGAATTACACCTCGACTTGGTCCGCAAATGACACCGATCTCTGTTGTTTGTGTTTGACCTTGGATAGCAGCATCATCACCATCAGTGCCAATATATGTGCTGCTAGTATTCCTCCATACCAAAACGGGGCCCATGGCGTGTTCAATTTGAGGAACGGGTAGGGCCAAAATCCTTTGGCTACAGTTCCATGAACAATCCACGCAAACACAGCGTACACCGACGGCCAGCCCATAATCAGCGGCAACGCATCTCTCGATACCAAATGTCTCGTAGCAAAGAAGTCCATTTGCAGCAGCAACACATTGGCCCCATGTTGGCAGTAGCTCACTCCGTTCAAGATCTTCTCGGGATGTCCGGTCTTGATTGCGTACGGGTACAACACCGTCCACACCACGACGCAGATAAGCACCGAAGCGGCTAAGCAAACGTCCAGCAGCAGTTCCAAGTCGATCCAGTACAAACCACTGTCTCTAATGACCCTCCTTCGCCGGGCGAAGGGGCTGTCAGTACCATCGTCACCTCCGTCCACCAGAGCCGTGTAACTTGCCGTTCTCTCGTCCAATCGACGCTGTAATTGGCTTCTGGTGCGCCATGCAGCCCCGAAGAAGTATGTTCCCTGCAGTATGAAGTTCCACGACGTGTAGAAGACCAGACAGCGGCCTCCGGAGCGATAGACGTCCCATATTTGGACCAGCAGGAAGAAGGTCGCTACTCCAGCCCGAAAGGCCAACAAAGCTCGCAACGACCAGCAGCTGCGAGGCTGTAGCAAAGCAGCAGGCTCACTAGAGAGCGGACGGGAGTCCACACGTCCAGAGCGACGTGTTGCCAGCCAAAACGACGTGCACAGCGCTGCCACAAGCTCCGCAGCCACCACAAGCGTCTCCCATTCTTCCCGGTTGACAGTCATCGTTCTTTGGAGTGAAAATGAGCTGTGATTGGATGAAAACAAGTTGAAGTGCACTTCAACTGGCGAAAACAGCGGGGGTTTTGCCTTGTCATTTAACCCGCGGATAATGCCAGCAAAAATGGCAAATGATGGCAACAATTTTAGATGAAGATTCTTGTCATTGTGTAATTTACTGATTGGCACTCAAGTGCTAAACGCGATGGCGGGAGTTCTGTACGTGGCGGTGGTGTCCCGCATGCTCGACTTGGCCGACACAGCGTTCCATTGGTTGCCGAGTTATCTACGAGGGTCCTCGACGAGACGCAGTATCTACACGCCAAAGGAGGACTCGATCGCAAGTGTGTACGCTGGAGAAGCGACTTCGCGAGCAACTGCCACTCCGCTCATGCCCAGTGACACCCCGCGAGCTCCCAAGAGAAACTTCATGAGCAAAACGAACGTGTCGATGTAAAGCCGTGGCCCTTTGTCCGAAAATGTGGATTTGAACGTAATGAATGACATTTGACTTGCTCTCAAGATTTAAGAGTTGCCGATAGACAGGAAGGATGATGTCCATTTCCGTATGACAGCCACAATTCTAGTCGCTTCCAGCACATTTTTCGAGTTGCCCAGAAGTTTGAGAACCTCCTCACATCGATGCGTTAGCGTTCCACCACTTGAATGTTCCTGTCCAGTAGCAACTTGGCGGAAGAATCCCAAACAAGCTCCACGTTTGCCTTCCCAGTACTCCGGGTCGGGGTCTACTCTCTCCAACACGTCGAAAGCTTTCGCCGAGTAGTAGAACTGCTGAGTTTTGTAGCAATCATTTGCAATCTGTTTCAATAGTGCAAACGCAGTCTGCGAGTTCTCAATCTTGAGATAAATTTCCCATGCCTGTGCAGCACGGTCCATGCGGATATAGCAACGAGAAAGCCAGCCACAAAGTACGAGTTGGGACTGTAGTTCAGGACTTTGAACTCGCAGTAAAACTTCTTCAGCTTCACGATAAGCACCAGTTGCTGCTAATGATACGCCATAGTTCCAGTTAAAGGCGTCATCGGCACTCAAATACGTTGCGATAGAACTCAAATATACGTTTGCATCGCTGGATTCCTTACGTAATATAAAATACGACGCCATACACTGACGGCCTGGAATTGTGTCACAATCATCGGGCGAAGACCCGGCAGCATGGAAATATTTCTCAGCTAGAAAAATATGCTCCTTGGAGTGAGTCTGTTCTCCAATAACTGCGTGCAATACTCCCTTAATTGCACGGTCGGTTGTGGTTTGCGGCTCCATATCTTCCATTAATGCGAACGCTTTGTGGTATTCACGACGTTTGAGATGAAGCAAGACCAAGTTCAGTTGTGCCTCATCGAGATGGCCCACTAAAGAACTCAAGACTCTTTCAGTCACTGCTCCTAGACTCTTGATACCATTCGCTTCGCGATCTGACACGCGGAAGATGGCGAGATTGTGCCTCATCACATCGGTAATTGATAATTCGGAACGTGAGTTCGCAATATCGAGAGCTTCCTGGGCGCATGGGTGATTTGGGAATCGTTTCACGTAGTCATCAAGTATAAATTTTGCCTCTCTTGCACTATACAGTCGATAGTTGCTACTCGCTTTCAAATTAGTGGCAAAGAAACTGTCTGGATGACCAACCAGGTATACTGCCAACAACTCCAGAGCGACATCGTCGTACCCCAGCCGGAAGTAACATAGTGCTAGATACACATGCAAAGCTGAGCAGCCCTCTTGACTGCCCTGTTTCGATTCTGAAATCAATCTCTTGTAAATTTCCGCAGCTTCCTGGAAATTATTCTGCGCAAAGCTCGTTGCAGCCAACGCTAGCTGGTCCTCCACTGAATCTCGAGAAAGCTGCTGATATCGATCTAGTAAGGTCTTCTCGCTGTGTTGTCGTCGATGTGCTAGCAAAAACAACAATCGATTGCACAGGGCACTTCTGGAACTGCTCAGAGCCGCGTGTTCAGCGTCTTCGAAGTTTTGCAGATAGAATAAGCAACACGCACGACTTAGTCGCCAACTCTTTAGATCTGCTGCAGTCGCTTCATTCGATGCTGCTTCGATCAACTGCTCGAAATGTGACAATGCCTCGCCGAAATTTCCATTGTGAAAATGGCAATACGCTATCCACCAAGTGTTTAAACGCCACGACCTGAGACCTTTAGCATTACGAACCGAGTTTTGATCTCCATCCTGTCGCTTCAGAACCTGCAGCAGCGTTAGCGCACCGACAAAGTCTCTCCTATCAAGGTAAGTGTCCAATTCAAACACCGTGTCTTGTTGTGGCTTCTTTCGCCGAGGTTGCAACACCCTACCACTTGATACAGTTTGCTTTGTTTTCCTCGCCACATACATCATAAACGTCCGCTGCCAAAAGTCACAGTATCCACATTATGAGTTATATTTTCAGAAAAATTTTCACTCGTTTCACTTGTTGCCCTTTGTCTCCTCGTCTTCAGCTTCACCTTGTTGCGTCTTGCTCTCCGCCCTGGCCGCTTGTGTGCGATAGAATTGCGGTTGAGACAGAGTCGTAAGTCTGGTATTGCTGCTGGTATTCGTATCGGCCGTCGCACTGCGTGCACCAAACGTGGTAAATAGTGGTGGCCGTCCTTGCGATGTATCGCCGCTCTTGGCCTCTTCATCTGCTGCGTCAACCGTAAGCGGGATCTCACCGGGCGACGGCTCTGAATGCTCATTAGACGCCACCGACAACTGCGAACTGCGACGATCGCTGCGCAGCTGCCCCGCGTCTATCGAGTCTTGCGACTGACTAGACCCCGACAGGTTGGAGCGCTCGACGGCGTAGCGTTCTTGTACATTCTTTACCTTTTCGAACCGCTCGCCCATTTGTCGGTGCATCTGACGCGCTTCTTCAACGAAAATACGAGTCTCGCGATTGCATTGCGTCTGCAGTTCAAGCTCTTTAATCTGCCTCTTGGAAGGCGGAGTGCTGCGTAGATATTTACAAAAGAAAGCAATTAGAGCACAAGCATTCTCTGTAGTAACAGCAAACGTACGTTTGAGATAGGGCGTGCTGCTGGTGTTGAAGATCCAGCTCTTGTTGCTCAACTTTGCGTTGACGCCTTAGCTCTTGAATCTGAAAAGAAAAAGCGATAAAAATGTGTCAACGACACTGTAAATACGATAAAAGCTAATACACTCTTACCTGTGCTACCAGATCGACAATAGTTCGTATTTGCTGAGGGTTCTTGGGGTCGTCCAGTATATGGTTAAGTGTCGAGCTCAGAACGTTCCGTTCATGACGCATCTCCTCCAGTTTCTTCTTCGCATCTTCATCATTCTTGGCCAGATCAGCGGCAGCTTGCTCCTTCACTTTCTTCAACTCTTCTTCGTGCAACTGCTTCGCCTTCTTTAACTCGTCCTCGTGAGTTTTTTTCAGCGTCTCGTTTTCTTTACGCAAAGTTTCCAACTCCTTTTGCGCTTGCTCCAATTGCTCGGACTTCTTGTACCGGGCCATAGAAACTTGTAAGGAGAAAGTTTTCAGCTCATCGTATTCCTCTTGAAGCTTGACGAGCTTGCTGTCTGCAGCTGGCACCTCAGCGCGACGCCGTCTCTTACCGGCAGCTCTAGTCGATGAGCTACTGGACTGTTGCGTGGCTTGGGTATTATCCTGCTCACTAG